AAGGGGCTCGTGAAATGAAAAGGTTGAATACTACTGAACGTTCTATAGAGTTATGTACTATTATTATTGGTGAAGTATTTTGTATTTTGTATGTTAATATATTTTATATAATCTAAGTTGTATAGAGACGGTTGCAGAGCAACAAAAACAAAAAAGTTGTTGTTGAAAAATCAAATTAAAAATGATGACATATTCTAAATTCTATTAATCTAATTGTGTAGTTGTACCATATTCAGGAAATAAAGGAAATTATTCAATCAGCACAAGAGTTTATACAGTCCACTCTATCGATTAACAATTATCTTTATCTTTATCTTTATCTTTATCTTTATCTTTATCTTTATCTTTATCTTTATTTTTATCTTTATCTTTATCTTTGTCTTAGTAGGTTAGGTTAGGTTAGGTTAGTCTTCTATCTATCTTTATCTTTATCTTAGTAGGTATTCAAAATATCTCAAAAATGAACAAAATTCAAAATTTATAAATACAGCACGAATTAACACAGAATTAGCACAAAATTATAGAGTATTTAAAATATTTCAACCAACCTTAAACTTGACAGACCGTACTTAACTTATTATTAGTCCCAGATTCTTTATTTGTAGTTAAAGTATTACTTACCCAGTTGTTTTCAAAGCACACTTCGTAAAATACGTTATGTAAGAATCACTCAAACAAAAAAATGCCCTTTAGGAATTTTCAATTGTTCGAATTTGTTATTTAGGTAAAACTGCACTTTTATGAAAGGAATAAGTGTTGTGATCAAAATTTAAATAAAAATGCTTAAGTATTAAGAAAGTTACAAGCAAAAAACGAATCTTTAGTTCGGAGTTTCCGAACACCATATAATTTAAGTTATTTAATTCTTTTGATGAAAAAAACGGAAATAAAAAACTTAAGTACGATTTTTAAATCAATAACGGCCATTAAAGCTTCAGAATTTTTAAAATTAATTTATTCGTAAATGCAGTTTGAACCAAGTTTTAAAAAATATACCTATGTATACCAAAATATGAATTAAAAAAACAAATTTGAGGTTATGTAACTTTGTTAATATTGAGTTTTCAAAGAATGTCGTAGGAACTTGTGTCATTATTTTTATGGGTAGAATCACAAAACATATAATACAGGTAGAATTACTTCCAAAATTATTTTTGATCAATTAATTGTAAATATGAAAACAATAAAGATAACGAAGATATACAATGTTGTGTAAATAATCCTGTACATAAATTAATTTTAGATTGACTTATAAAATCAATGGTTGTAGATAAGAATTCAACCTTATATTTTTCTCAAAAACAATCAATTTTACAACTATAACCATTTTTATCCGTAATTTATTGCTAAATTAGAAAAACTCCCACAAACTGAAAATATTAATGGTATAACGTCATCAAATGACAGATAAAAATTGAATTGAAGATACTCAAAAGTAAAATGACTATACTCGACGGCCAAAATTATAGATAGTGATTCATCGCTAGCTCTTGGACTAGTAAGGGGGCTGAAGCGTGCCGGGAACGAAAATCCATTGGCGTGTCTGAGTAAAAGGCAACAAGATATAGAAAATATTGAAAAAACATAATAAAACATAACATCTAATATTTTTTACGGTTTGCTATAACCGGCACTTTGATTAATTTTAATTATTACAGCATTTTAAAACGTCCCAGTTGTGTTTTTTTAATTTATAAATTTATTTTAGCCATGGAATTAGACCCCTCGTCTACGCTTATGCTATGACGTTTCTCAGGTCGGGCAAATCAAGTCCGTTTACACCCACTAAAAAAGCATTTCCCTATTCCCTACCAAGTGCAAAAGACAGAGATAAAATATAGATCGACGTTAAGTGTAACTCAGTCTATACACGATTATAGATTCTACCGATGTGCATGGCGATAGGCACAAAGATAAATAATATTGAACCGTATATAAATCATTTTATATTTTATACGCATTATGGTAATAGTGTTTTTATATTATGTATTAGTCACTCTTTATAATTTCGGCCGCCGAGTATAGTGAGATCAGACGACAATGGGAAGGGAGTTTTTAATTTTAATTTCTTTATTTCCATAATTTGTATGTTTATTTCTAAATTAATGTTTAAATTTTTCAAATAATTTTTGCAAAAGAAAATAAAGTGATGCCACTGATTACCCTTTTTCTAAATATTGTAATATTTTGCACAAGTATTAGGCAACCTAATTTACGTTAAAGCAGTTTGATTCACATAAGACTATGGTCCCGTACTTTATTGAGTCACTTAAAGACTTGATTAACTAATTAGTAAGCGATTAAACTGTGAATATTCATTTATAAATTATATTAGTATATGTACAGTCTAATCATGTGATTAACCAAGGCTTAACCGAAACTTAAAGTACCAGGCCTAAAGAATATGGAGATGTTTGAGTATTTAAATCGTTATTTTCCTGTGTTTAAAATTTAAGCTGTATTTAGTCTTCCAACACAAAATAACACAAATTTTAGAACGCAGCTTCAGTATTCACTTCAATGGGCTCAATTACCATTTTCTTATTTATATTCAGAAAGCATACGTCGTAATTCGTTAATAAGCCCAAAATCAGATATTTTGTTCAACAATTTCTCCCTCAAAATGACTCGTGAAAACGGACCACAGGAAAACGTAACATTTTGTGTCAAACCACCCCTTAACGGCAATCCCCCCCGAGGTATTTGACTGGGTTTCATATATCTCTAATTAAAGAAGCAGCAAAAACAAACAACTGAACCTAATTAAAAAATAAACGTTATTATAAATTTTGGTAAAGAAAACTAGTACGTTGAGATACTATTCCTCACTCAACGCTAAAATCGAGAAAATAGAAAATGAATAATTCGCGCCTGTCTTACAATTCACCTAACTCGAGAGCAGTCTCAATCTCATTATAATACGCCTGAATATGTTCAATTTATTCCAAGCGCTATGTAAAAATAATGGCTTTTTCATTCATTTTATAATAAAAGTAGGTATATAGCCACACTCAATGTTTTGTAAAACGCCTAAAATTTTCAGTCAAATTGTATTTACATTTACCATTTTACAATTTGCCCAGTCAGTTGTAAAACGCCTAGGCATTTTGTAAAAGACTAAAGTGAATTGGCAATTAGCCTGCGACACCCACATACTATCCAAAACCTAAATTACAAAATGTTCTGTACTAATTATTAAAGTAAATATAATGCATTTTCTAATGTCTAAAAGCTTTGGACTATGGACTATGGCTCCCTTCTGGGTATGCCATTACTTTCTTCAAATAGTAAACATTATGCGTACTTGAACCGAACAAGCCAATTAAAGTAAAATATTCTTATATAAAACAAGAAACTTGAGGCTTTTTTTCGCGAGTGAGATAGAAATAGTAACTACAAGTCAGATATTCATCAATATTCAGTCACTAAAAAAAGCCTTTGATTTCAACAATTTTTGGTCCCAGACTCAGACCCTTGGCTCAGACAGTAAATATAAGATAGCAAATTTTTCCATAAGTATGCAACCAATGATACAGTTCTGTGTAGAATGAGTTATATACATTAGATGTTACTTAGTTTTAAAAGTTTTAGACGTTGCCAAATATTTTCTTTCTCCTAATATTGGTCCTTCAATAATGTCCAATCTAGTTTTTACACTTAACTATTTATATTACCTAAAACTGAACACTTATGAAAAGGAAAATACCTATCTACTTAATGTTTGCAGATTTTCTTATGATTGTATAAACTCAAATGTACGCATAGGCGTAGCCAGGAATTTTTCTAGTGGGGGGGGAGCCAGTTTATTGAACAAAGGCCGCGTTCAGCCGAACATAGCGCAATAGCAGTATCTGCTAAGAAGTAGCTTGTAGCGCTCTATCTGGCGGGGACAACCATTGACCACAATTTCATAGAACATAAATCACAGTATGGTTATCTGTGACTAGCTATTGTCCCATGATCATAAAAAACAAAATTTGTTAGCTATATATGCTACATCGTTTTAAATTTTAAAATCTTTTCAAGCAGCATTTTCGAGTATTTGTAAGGTACGTATTCTCCAGATACTGGCTTGTATATAAAAGGTAATAATATATGTACGTAAAAGGTAGTATGTATATGTAAAATGTATATAAAAGGCAATGAAAATTGAAAATAAATTTCAACTGTTAGTAATACCATTTTTCTAGCACAACAAAATGAATCATCTGTATTTCTAACCTAACTTTCTTACTTAAACTCTTTAAAAACTGCTTAAATTTGACACCTAGCGCTCTCTCCTCTCAAAATAGCGAAAATTAATTAAGCTACAAAACATGGCGACTGCTAGGTATAGCGCAACCTGTTAGCAGAAAATTGTGAACACAAAGCTATGCTATCGCTACGAGCGCTAACATAGCGCTGCGTCTGGCTGAACGTGGCCAAAGGGTATATGAAATCATGGCTAAATTTAGTGCAAAAGCCTTCTTACTCAACGGCCAAAAGTAAACAGAGTGGCCTAAAGTGATTTAATCTGACTGTTTTATACTAAACGCCTCAATTATCTAAACAAATAAATAATATACTTACTTATTATGGTTTAAATTTTTATATTAATTAAAATTATACGAAACAAAATTTTTGAAACTTGCAGTATGCAGGAGGGCCGTGGCCCCCTCCTGTTCCCCATTGACTATGCTCCATTCTGACACTTCCAACAATTTTAAAATTTTGATAAACTACTTAAAAGGAGAACTTTTTTCTGAAGATGAGTGGTTATGAATATCTGAAACGTATATATATATGCCTATGTAAAGTATATTTATATATACAAAATTATTTTGAAGTTTTAACCAAAAGCCTAGTTTAATCTTAAATTCCAATTACCCAATTGGTCTTTTAAATAAATTCATTTAATCTTCAAAATATGCACTGATTTGGCAATGTTGCATATCGCGTGTTTATTTGACATTTGCTTTTCAGTTTGTCTGTTGTCAGTTTGTTTAATCAGCTGTATTTTCTGTCATCTTTGTCACTTTCTGTTGCTGACATCGAGGATTTAAAGTGACGATGGATGGAAGTTTATAACAGTAATAATCATCAGCAATGATTTCTAACAGAAATAAATTGGCCATGATAACGTCCGCAAAGTGGCACGGTTCATCTTCAAATCTAACGTGCAATACGGTGATGTAGATTATTTAGGTTAAGTGTAAACAAAAAAATTGTGCGTGAATAAAACCCAAAATTCGGCCATAATATGGATAAATGCGAGCATTACGTTGATTGCGACGATGAAAATCTTCTCCTGGATGATGAAAGTGCTCTTGAGAAGAAATGTGTGAGGTGTAGAAAACAAATTCCTGTCTGGGTAAACGGAGACACTGTGCCAAATTGGACTCAAAACATAAATGGTGTTTTTCTTAATGAAGGGTCTGAGACTATAATGTCAGTCATAGATGAGCTTACAGATAATTTAGAAGATTCACCTTTATTAATAAATGTAAGTTTGTGGCAATGAAAAAGTTCTACATAAATATTTTGCTATTATCCATTTATTCATTATCAAAATTATGGTTTATTATAACAGAACTTCCTGCATTTTATCTGTGTATTTAGATACTTCCTGTACTTATGAGAAACATATGATTATAAAAATAAAAATTATATAAATTTAGATAAATTATTTAAAAAAGTTAATTAAAATAAAAGATATTCAAATAAGGGTTAATAAGTAAATGTAACATATAACGTATGTGCTAAATCTAAGTCTTTACTACAACAGCAACAGACAATACAATAATCGAGACAGTAATATCTGTAGTTAGTAGGATTAACAAATTTTAATTTAAAATTTAATGATTACGATCAGTAAATCTTTATTAAACCCATATAATTTATAGAAAGGATTTGTCTGTCCTTAGATATGAAGTGATAATTATGATATCCAAGTCATGTTATACATTGTTTTATAGATCGTAGGTACTTTATTTATGTTTTAAATTCCAAAATAATTTGTGGAAAACCAAAAAGTAAAGCAACATACCTAAGCAAATATCAAATTTAATAACTTGTTTGCAATATAAAAAACTTGTTTTTTTGTAGACCAAGAATTTCAACTATGACCTCTATAATAAAATCCTCAATAAAATCACACATATGTAGTAAAAACATGAACAAAATTTGTTTGCAACCAAAATTTTTTCATAAATATCAAAACTAAAATATGTATCACAAATTAATATGTATACATTAAAATGTGAGATTTTTGTACTACAACAAAAAGTCAGTTATATTTTCTCACAAAATTCAGTAAATACTGAAAGAAAGAGAAAAGAATATATTCGATATTTTATATACATAGACACTGATAAAATTAACAGAAAGAAAAAATAATGATAAATAAGAAAATAAAACTGTATAAATTATGCAAAAGAGCTTTTTCATGTAATAAAATTTGTTGATTTTGGTGATTTTTGTAGAGCAAAATCTAAGTATATCATTTTGCAGGAATCCAGATCAAATTTTTTTTGTTTGTTTAATATTTTTTTTTATTATTTTGGTTTAAAAGTGCAAAAAAATTACATAATGTGGGTAACAATCAATTCGTAAAAAAAATTAATGAAATTATTGCGCCATCATCTTCACTCTTAAAAAAAAGTTATTCAAGTCACTTTAATATGGTAACAGTAACATTTTTGTCACCTAATTAAATAAAAAGGAGTATATAAGTTATCTAAATATATTTAAACTGTACCTTATTTAAAAGTATTATTTATCAAGCATTTAATCGTATTTGTGTCTAAATTGATGTTAATGATAAATATTTTTCCCAAGATTAACACCTATTTAATAATTAGTTTTCTACCCCTAGCCATTTGTTTTGTTTGTGTAAATACCTTACATCTCCATTTTTTTTATCTTTAGAAATCAAACTAAAATTAAAATATGAAACAGATGATTTCAAATTCATCGAAAGTGATTTAATTCAAATTAAACTGATTTCTTTTAATATGGTATTTCCAAAATACTTTTTAAATCTTTGGGAAAGTATTTATTAACTATTTCATAAAATATCTTGTACTATGTTATATCCTCGGTTATATCCTACTAAAATTATCTAATAAAATTCATGATAATAGAAATACTTGGCAAATTTATTTGTAATTTGTGTTTTTTTTATGTATCACTTGCTCAGTCAAACGTGGTCACATTTCAAATGACAGAAAAAAATGCCTTAAATACAGCTCTTTCACTTTCACTTCAATAGCAATTTAGCAAACAGAAGGTATTTTGTTTATTTCGATTTGCACGCCTATTAAATTGTAACATTTCATAAAATCAGTGTATTAGAAAATAATGTGTAACAATTTGGAATAGGTGTATGTTTAACATTTTATAATTCAATTTCAGATGTGCTTAGGTAGGTATAAGTAAAAGTATCTAAGAAGAATTTAAAAATGTTTTGTGATCAAGATGATTAAAATTTTTGAAATAACATGAGAAAAATTTTAAAATATACAGGATGTCCCATATAAGATGGATTCTTTTATAGCTGTGGTCATATCAGTATTACAAGAAAAATGATGATTGTTGCAACAACTTATGGTTTGAAATAGATCATATTAACAGACTTTTAAATTAAATTTAAGATCAACTTTGATAAACAGATATTGGGTTTAAAACTTACGGTTTCAACATTATTTAATGTTTAAAGAAAATTCCCTTTGTAGCATTCTCAAAAATGTCCATAATTTCTCCAGAAATAAACATATGATAGCAAACTGCTTCACTTGTTCAAGTGAGAAAAAACCTATCCTACCTACTTTCGAATACATTTCAAATAGAAAATTACAGGCATTAGAAGTATCAAGTTTTGTGTCATTGATAACTTGATTTTTTTTCAGGTCACCCTAGGTTATATGGCACAAGCGGATGTATGTACCTAGTATTCAATTTTCTTTCGATTTCATTAAGATGTGTTAGTCTATTTCTGATAGTTTGTAAGATATTCACTGTTTTCCATATTGTTTGGATGGCACATAATAATGGAACTTTCAAAGTCAAAATTAGATGTGAATGTGATGTTTCAACCATAGTTTAATGTTAAAAATTACCCAAACTGAAAAATATTTACAAGAATGTTAGAAAAACACTTGGAAAAACACTAACTATTCAAAATATCCACCATTCTGCTAAACACATGATTAAATAAATATCTTAGAATTCTTGTCAACGCTATGAAGAATTTTACTTATGTCTCTGAGAGCATGTCTAATTCAATCTTGCATAACTTTACTTTTTATAAATGTCCACAAGAAAATGTCAGATTTTGTTAAATCGTGGGATCTAACTAGCCAATAAGGAGACCTCACCTTTTTATTATTTTGAATTGGAAAGTGTTACCTATATGGATCTATTTATTAATGCGCAAATAGCAACAAAAGAAATATGAAAATCTGTGAATATAAAAAAATATCTTAACAAAATTGAAAGGAATTTAAATTTACATCTAAGTGAAATTTAACATATACCTAATTCCATTAACAAATAAAATATCTGTGATTAAATACTAAACTTTCAAATACCAGTATTTTCAATTTTTTATTGAAATATGAGTACTTAACGTAGAAGATAGGTTTTTTAATTCTTGAACAAATAATGAAAACTTCATCTTGTTGTATATGGTCGGAGGTACATATTTAAAATTTTCGAGTTTGGTACAAATGCCATTAAAAAGAAAAAAATGTCAAATAATATCATAATACCTCAAATCGAGTCTTAATAAACTCGACGAGCAAATTGCAAATGCAATAATAATAAACAGGTTAGTCCATCTGAAAAAATGAACACCCAGAGGAAATGGGACACCCTTTACAATCGAAAATAATTTAAAAATTTGGAAGTATAGATGTAGTTCAACCTTTATTTAAAACTTTTTTTGTAACTTAATATGATCAGAGCTATGGACGAATTCGTCTCTTGGCATACCCTGTATATTTTTTTTATTCAAGTATTAAATTATCCTCCTAAGTTGTGTATATCTTTACAAGGAAATATATTGATTATAATTTTTATGTTATTATTCAAACATTGAATAATTTAATCAAAGTGAAAAGATATCAAAAGTGTCATAATTATTTTTTATTTATTTGTCACAGTTGAATTGTTGCTTCATAAAATGTCTAGTTATTTTCTAAGAAATGGGAAAGTTGTAATCAAAATCAGAATGAAGTAGATATTAGCAGTTACGTAATTGAACATTTTTATAATAAATTTTATTTATCAAGAGACAATACACCATTGTATGTATAATGGGCAAATTTTGAAATTCCTAACACCGATATCTGAAGATACCAGATTTACATTGAAAATAAACAAACTAAAAGCGGAAACAATCTAAATTAAACAAGATAACCAATGCACTTATATTTAATAAATGAATAGTTTTCGTCTGGTTATTGCATTATTGTTTGAGTGACTGTTGACCGTTACATAGTAGAAATGTTAGAGGGTCCTGTTATGGATGGTTGCAATATTGAAAAGGTAAGAGCCAAATTGAAAGTAAGTAGATAGGAAAAATTGGAACAAAAAATCTTTTTCAAATTGATATCATCACTAAAAACGCAATAAAGTTGCATATTTATTTAAAATCATGTAATATCTAAAGAGAAGGAAATACGTATTACCTCATCAGATTATAAATAAACTGTAGTACAAAAAAAAATATTTAAATTTTGTAAAATTTCAGGACAATGACAATGTTTTTTTACCCAATTTTTGTTTAAAGCTTTGAATATTTGACTTTCCACCAATTTTTTTTTAACATGATTTCCGTTAAAATATTTATGTTATTGTATAATAGGTCGGTCCCTTGTATTCTGAGGCAAACTGTAAAAAAGAAATAAAAAAGCAAATGGTTAAACTAGATTTATCTTCTAGAACCCGTATCATATCAGAATAAGAAAAATTATGTGTAACGATGTACAGGTTAAAAAAATTGGTCAAAAGCATTAATCACAGATTTTTTGAAAAAAAATAATAAAATCTACTTTATGCCATTTTCCATTTAGGCGCTTCTTTTTCAAAAGACTTTAAAGGCTTTAAAATTAGATTCTTATTAATAACTCTATTGTTTTTTAATACATTCAGTTCAAAAATTGTGCAAACATTTATTTTTAACAATGATTTTAAATTAAATGAAGAATTTTTTTAAATTAAAACGAAAATGAAGGAAAAGAGGTTGCCCTTTTCCAAACTTTTTCTTATATGTATGTATATACTTAACTATGGCCCCAAATTGTTGCATCTTTAGATGAATTTATTTCTTTAATTTTGTTTATAGATATTTATAAAATTTTGATGTGGAATTTGATTTATTCTTGAGAAAATTTTATTTAGGTCTTGGTTTTTATACCTATTATAACATTTGGACTATACTTTTAATAAAAATAAAAATAATAGTGTACCTATTTTGAAATATTGACTTTGGTAAAGGTTTAATTTAAATTTAACTTAATTAATTTACTCAGTTTCAGTTTAGCAATTAGATTAATTTAAATTAGCTACATTCAAATGTTATTCGACATGTCTATCACTTCTGTGTGCACACTTGGCTTGAGACTTGGCTTTTCTTAATAATAAAGAACCAAGTATGCTAGAAAATTTGTGGTTTAGTCTTCTACAATTTATTTTCATAGTTGTCGAATTGAAACCACTTATTTTGTGCCGACAAAAAGCATACAAGTTAATTTTTAGTTATTATAATAAAAAACAAGTCGGATAAAAAATTAGTCACTGTTTGTTAACATAAGACAAATTAAAGTTACTAGAAAATATATTACCTACCTACATTATATAGAACATATTTAAAAATACAGACAATTCTTTGTAATACTAATGAAATTAGCTCTAGCAATGAAATTGGAGTGGTGTTCAAAAAATTGCCATTTTGTAGCCTTAACTGTAAATGACACATATTTGAATTTGGCATATACTTATGTTTTTGACAGCAATATTTATTTCTTTTACATAGAATCAAAGTTTTATACAGGGTGTTTCCTAAGTACGATCCGTAACTTCAAGACATAATTTTTTATGGTATTTAAAGAAAAAAATTGCTATAAACATGTGGCCAGAAACACTTAGATTGCGAGATACAGGATATTGAAAATTTAAAAAAATATATTAATAAGTATTTCAAATATAGGACCCCGCACAAAATGAATGGAAATTGGGTCCCGCTAGATTTGGCTGGAATTGTGATATGTTATAGTTCTCGACATTCTGATGAAAAGTTGTCACAGGCCCAAAGTGATCCTATGGATAGTTTCAGAGACATAGAGGGGGGGAGTGTGTGATTTTGGCTGTAGGACTGAGTAAGCTTCACGAAGTTTCAAGCTGATGGATTCAAAAACTGAGGCATGTAATGAATTTTGACCAGTAGGTACAATGCTTTTGGGATCACTGAACCTGAATTCTTGGATAGCTTAGCTATCTAAGGTCACCTGGAGGTCAGGTAAAGGTCGTTTCAAGGTCAATCTGAAGAAAAGGCTTGTATTGAATTTCAACCAGTGCATATATAAGTTTTTTGGGTGGGCAACTAAATTTGGGGACAAGTTAACATTTGTGAAAGGCCTTTTCTTTACTTTGACCTTGAAATGATCTTGACTTGACCTAAATGTGACCTTGTAGGGCTAAGCTATCCCCAAATTTAATTCCCCCCAAAAAAAGCTTATATACGCACTGATTGAAATTCAATACAAGCCTTTTCTTTAGTCTCATCTTCAAATGACCTTGAATTGACTTGAAGGTGACGTTTAGGGTTACGCTATCTGCAGATTCAGATTCTACGAGACCAAAAACCTATTCAGTCACTGGTCAAAATTCAATACAAGTCTTTTCTTCAGTTTGACTTTGAAGCGACCTCTACCTGAACTCCAACTGACCTTAGATAGCTAAGCTATTCAAGAATTCAGGTTCAGCAATCCCAAAAGCATTGTATCTACTGGACAAAATTCATTACATGCCTCAGTTTTTGAATCCATCTACTTGAAATTTTGTGAAACTTACTCAGTCTTACAGCCAAAATCACACACTTCCCCACTCCATACCTCTGAAACTATCCATAGGATCACTTTGGGCCCGTGACAACTTTTCATCAGAATGTCGAGAACTATAACATATCACAATTTCAGCCAAATCTATATCTCTGAAACTATCCATAGGATCACTTTGGGCCCGTGACAACTTTTCATCAGAATGTCGAGAACTATAACATATCACAATTTCAGCTAAATCTAGCGGGACCCAATTTCCATTCATTTCGTGGGGGGTTCTTTTATGGTACGTTTGTAAAGAGCTGCATTTTTAGTATTTAGTAAGTAAATTTTTATCTGCCGCCAGTGGCGTAGTTGTGCATGAGTCAGTCGACGTTTTCGTCAGAAAATGTAGAACGCCAATGGGTTTTTTAAAATTTTTATTAACAAAAAAGATGCCTTGAATTTTTTGCCTAATACTAACTTATTCTTGGAAGAAAAGATTTATTTAATTCAGCGGCAACAAAAATAAGAGATAATATGGTATGCCTTTTTTTTTTGTTGTCTTAGTTACTTGTTTGGTACCAAGATTGTTGGCATTTCGTTAGTTATAAGTTGTCAGTCAAAACTGTGGATTAGAAGAAATTCGGAAATGAATAAATTTACTAATGCTGAAATGATTCAGATGCATTTCATCTACGGCTTAGCAAAGAGAATACAGAAGAAGAGCGGCATATTTATCAAGACTGTTATCCTAACGGAGTAACGCCATGTGTTAAAACATTTAGAAAGCTACATCTCAGATTAAGTGAAACTGGTAGTTTTAAGCATGGTAAGGAAATTTCAGGCAGGCAGACCTTCAACAGTAACAACCCCAGAGTTAGAAGAAGCTATACTTCGAGAGATAGAAGAAGATCCTTCAACCAGACTACCAGACTACCACATACAATGGACCCCATACCAACGTACAATATCTGCCAAATCTTGAGAACCTTGCATTGACTGTTTAAATTTATTTAAAATATTGATATATTTTTAAAAATTTTTAGCACCTATCTTGGAATCTAAGCGTTTCCGTCCACATATTTATAGGAACGTTTTTTTAATACCAAAAAAAATTGTGTCCTGAAGTTACAGACCGTACTTAGGAAACACTCTGTATTTCATGCGATATCAGAACGTAAAACAAGACAAATTCTGGATTTACAGATTTTTTTTCTTAAAGCCAGATATCAATATTTTTGGTTATTTAATCATGCCTCAAATTTTGGCTTCAGATAGTTTTAGTTTCATAACATTAGGTAACATTGAACAGGAGTATACTTGCTTATTGAATGTTATTAGGAGAGTAAAATTTACGAAACTTACGGAAAATGTATCAAAATGCAAATTTCAACAACTTCGTTTAGTTAAAAATAATAAAATTCATTTGATATTTTGCTTACAAAAATTTGTACTCGGAGCCTTATGTCTTATATCTTCATTTTACTAATTTTATAATTAAGTAAAATAATAACAGTGAATGAAAAAAAAATTACTATTACGTTTCAGATTCAATAGTCAATATATAAATAGAGGCATATACGAGTATGTCAAAATTATGTCTTTAAATATCAACAAATATATTCTAATTTCACTGGTTTTTTAGTTTTAAGTATCACTTATTTGTTCTAGTTTATTACGTATCTAAAATAGACATATGTACAGAATCAATTAGAATAATTTGAAGCAATTTTGTTAAGAAAAGATATATGCATAAAACATATTTTGTGACGAACAGCTGTGTCTACTATTTTTGACTGTTTGACCAATGGTAAACTGACCTTAATTCTATCCGTATATTATCATTATCTGCAATTTATTTTTACAAAAGCTGTTATATTGAAGAACTGTTTGTTTTAGGACTGTTACAGAGAACCTGTCAATACAGAATTTCACTGCCATGACTCTGTAGGGTATATAGAAGATGTTATTGCATGGAGGAAACTTATGTCAGCTTCAATATTATGTTTTATATTCATGGTAAGTAGGTACCAACATTATATTTTCTGGTTAGTTTCACTTTTATATTTAGATGAACATTTTTAATTTGTCTGTATTTCAGTCATTTGTTATTTTTCAAAAAATTTCATTTTATAGGCTGCGGAATTACTGGGTGGATATTTTGCCGGGAGTTTAGCCATCATGACGGATGCTGCCCATCTATTTTCTGACTTTATAGGTTTTTTGATATCACTTCTAGCGCTCTGGATAGGAAAAAAACCAGCTACTAAGTATATGACTTTTGGGTATCATCGTGCAGAAGTATTAGGTGCTCTATTAAGGTAAGCCAACAGTTTTTTTAATCCATTTATGTTGAATCACATTAACCACAATTGATGATTAATGGACAAATATCTCTTATATTTTTCAGTGTTATAACAATTTGGATGTTGGCAGCCATTTTCTCCGTTTTAGCAATTGGTAGACTGTACAATAAGGATTACGATATAGATGCTGACACTATGATAGTGGTAGCTTGTATAGGGGTGGTTATAAATATTATGTAAGTAAAATAATGCATATTTAACAAAGATAACACTTGTGATTGTCACCAAAGATGGTTTAAAAATTCATCGACTCCTTATTTTAACTCATTATACTCGACGGCCAAAATTATAGATAGTGATTCATCGCTAGCTCTTGGACTAGTAAGGGGGATGAAGTGTGCCGGGAACGAAAATCCATTGGCGTGTCTGCGTAAAAGGCAACAAGATATAGAAAATATTGAAAAAACATAATAAAACATAACATCTAATATTTTTCAAGGTTTGCTGTAACCGGCACTTTGATCCATTTTAATTATTACAGCATTTTAAAACGTCCCAGTTGTGTTTTTTTAATTTATAAATTTATTATAGCCATGGAATTAGACCCCTCGTCTACGCTTATGCTATGACGTTTCTCAGGTCGGGCAAATCAAGTCCGTTTACACCCACTAAAAAAGCATTTCCCTATTCCCTACCAAGTGCAAAAGACAGAGACAAAATATAGATCGATGCTCAGTGTAACTCAGTCTATACACGATTATAGATTCTACCGATGTGCATGGCGAGCGGCACAAAGATAAATAATGAACCGTATAGAAATCATTTTATATTTTATACGCATTATGGTAATAGTTTTTTATATTATGTATTAGTCACACTTTATAATTTCGGCCGCCGAGTATAGGTACTTACTTTCATGAAACAGAATTTATAGACTATATTTCACAGGATTTTTAAATGTTTATTTACATATCCGCAAATAGTATTTGACATATTTAACTTTAAATTTATGAAAATTGATATGAATGATGTTATGTAATTAGTTGCAATTATTATAATTTTAACCCATTATATTATTTTAAAGTCTATTATGCTTCAAAAATGAATGAAACAGCCTTGAATTAGCATTATTATATCCCTATTAACTCTCATTTTAATGATAAAATATGTCGGAGTATTTTTTATGATTAGTGACATGGATTTTCTGAGAATTTTTAGCTAGATAATCAAATTTAAGTATTTCGAGTCGGTTTATTATAAAAAGTACAGTCAAAAGTTGGACTATATATTTAACAATTTTGTGCTAAGCTCTCTTAACTCAATATTAAGATACTTGCTAGAAAATTTCCTGAAGATCATATATACGGTATGAGTCATATTCAATGAAATTTCAGAATATCGGAGAATACTGAAATAGAAAAGTGATGACATATTCTCAAGCTTGATTTTCAAAACAAATTCTGCTGTCAAATTATATTTGATAATAAGGGTTTTTTGGTGAGCCAAACCACATCAAACCCGGTTAGCTCGAGTTTAATTGTGTCAAGAGTTTGAGTTAACATTTGACAGAACTCGCAAAAATTCTTTTGGTTTGGATATCTAATCAATAATAAAATCGTAACCTATAATCTATGATAGTGCTCGTAGCTCAAGTTGTTTGATTATTTCTTATATGCTATAGTTGTTATTCCTAATCTGAAATCCATGAAATAACGTTAATGTATAGATGGTTATTAAATCAAAATGGGTTTACCTTTTCACAAATATTATCTATCCCAACGTAAATGTATCGTCTAAAAGGAAGTTAATAAAGATCTATACAGTACAATATAGAAAATGCATATCTTCGATTAAAGTTATTTGGATCCTCGATTACTATTTTTTTATTATCAATTTTAAATATTACTTTGCATTTTTTGCAAAGTGAATCCATTACCAAATTTTTTTATTTACAACTTATACCTATCCAAACCTCTAAAAAAACGAAGTAGTGACTAGGTACGATGGTACGAAACAGAAAATAAATAAACAATGATAGAAATATTAACTTAATATCCAAACCAACCCACAAGTCCGGTTTGATGGTTAGGCAAACTCTGCCAAACCGGGTTAACTACATTTCTCGCCAAAACGTCAAACCTCAAACTATAGTTAACCGGGTTAGCGGTTTTCTCGCCAAAAAACACTTATTGTCATTTGTTTTGTTTTCATACAGGATGATATTAATTTTCTTTCATCTCCGCTCAAAGAGTTGTGATTAGAGTAAAAAGTGCCCTATATAAATTTTTCATTATTGCTGATTAGTTAGTAGAGTTTCATGGTAATGAACTATAATGCAATCTTATAGTTTCATATATATAT